GTGTGAATTGATCCATACAGTGTGTGTACTGATCCATACAGTGTGTGTATTGATCCATACAGTGTGTGTATTGATCCATACAGTGTGTGTATTGATCCATACAGAGTGTGTATTGATCCATACATAGTGTGTATTGATCCATACATAGTGTGTATTGATCCGTACAGTGTGTGTATTGATCCGTACAGTGTGTGTATTGATCCATACATAGTGTGTATAAAGTGTATATTGAACAGGTCCATACAGGTACTGTTTCACCCCTACCTGTAATCCCATGTTTGAAGTGTAGGAAAATAAACTGACCTGTTTCCTTTACATCCCCTTTTTCTTAAATCTTTTTGTTCTGTAAAATATCACCTTGTGTGCGTAACAGCCAGCGAGGCTCACGCTGCATCCTCCAACTTTACAATCTGCATTTAATTGCCTCTTGAATGCTTGTAGTCCGATGAAAAGGTCAGCAAATCTCAGGCGCTGACATGATGATAAATGATGCTCAGATCACACCTTGAAAAGGTGTTTGTTTCCCGGAGCCTTGYTGCGTGTAATGGAGGGGTTTTACACTGGTGTTCCTCATTTATCCCAGGAAAAGTACATCCGTTCTTACTTTCAAATGAAAACTAATCTTTGCTCTTCATCTTTTTATGACACAAACGTCAGCTTCCTGAGTGGCTTCCTCTTGAATTTTAATTAAATTGTCACTCTAATGCAAAGTGCTGTCATGGATCTTTTAAAAGTTAACGAACTCAACCTGCCTGTTTGTTTTGTTTGTTTCTGTTTTACCTGAACTTATTTATTCATTTTTCTAATATTAATCATCAYTCTGTAACAGTGTTTTCCCTTCAGATACCGCCTGATACCTCCACGTATCTGAGCTTTTATCAGATCACATTAAATCGGCCTGCCAGTAGTGTTGTAGTACTTGAGATCGGTCTTGGTCTTAAAACCAGTTTCAAGACCGCTTTTTGATGGTCTTGGTCTTGTCTCGGACTCAACCACATTTGTACTCGGTCTTGTCTCGGGATTTTATTTCAAGACCACAACTGTGGAAATATCACTAAATTGCCAGAATGTTGTTGAATTTATTTGTTAACAATCTTGTTTCATTCGCTGTAAAACGTACTGATTCAAATCCAAACCTGACTCATTGCTATTTATGTATTTTTGTTTGCCATGTCACCCATCCCCACCCCTGTTCGCTCGCACACGGCACTCCAAAAAAGGTGAGCAGTAGTGCTCTGGGAGCGGGAGATGATCTTCAATAATACAGTTTGGCTACTAACATCATAAAAATATATATTTGTAAAGCAATATTCAGAAGAAAGCAAATGTTAGCAATCTGCCTCTGTGGCAAAATTATTTTCTCAGCCCTCGCAGATATTGTCAATATTAGATGCATATTAAGTTAACTACATGTGTACAGAATACTCTATCTTTTACAGAACTGGCTTTCTTTCTTTCTTTCTTTCATTTATTTATTTATTTAAGTTTCTGGCCTTGGTCTTGTCTAGGTCTTGCCTTCCCTCGATCTTGGTCTCAACTTGGTCCAGGCCCTAAATGTCTTGACTTGGTCTTGATACACTGTGGTCTTGGTCTTGACTTGGTCTTGGGTCAGGTGGTCTTGACTATAACACTACCTGCCAGCTCTGCCACGTTTCTTCTTTTACAGCTTCCTCCAAATACAGGAAGGTAAGATTTGATTGTACAAGTCAGGAATTACAGGATATAAAAAGAAGCTGTCATCGAAAAATATTTAAAAGTTTAGAGAAACCTGGTGATGACTGTCCATCAAGAAA